CCCCCGAAAAAAAAATGTTCAAAGCAACAAAATAATTTTGAAGTTTGTTACAAACCAGACCCCCAAATCAGAAGACCAGGGGGTAATAAAGTCAGGATTTGTTTCATTAGTGAAATGCCCTAGAACCTTCCTTCTGACACTCCTTTTGCTTTGTATAGCATTACTACTTCAAGTTTACATATTTTACAAGGAATTCTTTCCAGACATTCCTGCCCTGAAAGTGTTCTTAAGGAGCATGGCTTTTTGGCTTTTATGTGAAAATCGTTATTACAGTTTGGATAGCAAAGTGTCAATCATTTTGCCCCATATAACAAGCGAAATACCTTGGAAAAGTAGAAACACCTTAGAATTTATTTTATGGATCCATATTGGGTATCAAGCTTAAGAAAAAAAAAAAAACAACTAAGAAAGCCCCCACACTAAAGCTTTCTATTTAAATGTTAGAGACTCACATTTAAAACTTGAAGCCTGCATCCCTGACGTGAGTACTGAAAACAGGCAGGAGCTTCCCTCCCAGAAGAACACAATTGTGCCTTTGAACAATTAAGCACGAATTTTTGATGAAAACCCTATGATTTGATCTACTTGCCTACATTTAAATTAATTAAGTTGTATACTTTGTTTGTGTTCAAGTCGCTTATGAACTTCTGCATGGTTAAGAGAGGCACCGGTGCGATGTTATTTGCTGGATTACCAGGCAGGAAATGTTAACGTCAACAATGGATTTTAAAATTACCAGAATTTCATGACTGAACAGGTAGATATGAGGCAAAAATCTAACACTTCATCATCAGTGTCCAATCTTCATTCAAACCCACTGAGGCAACACGTTAAGTGTGTTGTTTTAACTGCCTTGTTTTTTTTTTTCACCCAAGCTGTTGTTAGCTGGGTTTTTGCTTAGTTTTCTGGTTTTAAACTGAGATTTTCATTTAAAAAAAAAATCAATTACTAAAGAACTCAGTCTAAAAAAAAAAAAACACCACCCAAAACTGTCCTTTCTCCTATGAAAACCCAAGTTGAATAGAATGAAGATAAAGCTCTACACACAAAATTCCTCATTCTGACATTTTATGAGAGATTTAATATTTTCAACGTATGAGGCCATTCAAATTACTGAAGATGCTTATTGTGATCTTGGGACACTGCATAAATCACAACAGTTCTTCCAATTTTTGTCATAGGATCATGCTACAACATTGAAGAAAGTCCATAAAAACCCAGTCTATTTGCAGCTAAAAGCGTAGCAATCTATAATTGGAAGCGCTGTATTGTATTTCTGGGTGAAAGTTAACTCTGGTACCCTACACTCAGGCCATCTGACCCGCAATGCTATTCTGTTTCTTGAAGTATTTGAAGCCCCTGAGGTGAGGAATGAAGTTGCAAATAAGACCTAAACGATGTGTTGGCCAAAGCTTGCACTTGGAAGCAAAGCACAATTTTCAGCACATCTAGCTTGACGACTCCAGTATTTTTCCACCTAATGAGCGAAGGTATTACTGTGTTAAAGAATTACTCACCCAATTAGGGACACCATCTGCTCCACTATATGTTTGCTGAATGTTATAATAACGAAAAGTTTCTGTAGGAAGGAAAACATCAGTTAGAGAAACATTTGATCAAAAGGGAAGCAGAGACAATGGGGCACGACAATTTATGTTCCTTCCCAACCAGACAGCTTCTCCAGCACTCACACATCTTTTTCCCTTCTGTTTTCTTTCAAGATCTTTATTTTTCAATACTCTTCAAAAAGAGGCAGGAGAGAGAAAAGCTGTTTACTTTATTATTCTATTTCCTCATAGATTTCATTTCTTGCAATGTTTTTGTAGCCTGTGTTACTAACCATTCGCATCCTCCCCAAACTTCAATTCCCAGAAGCTCAAGGTCACTTTACTCCGTCAACAATGTTTTAATGGAAAAACACTCATCACCATGTAGAAAAATTCACATCCCCTTACAAACAAATGTACTTAAAGATCGCAGAAGTGAAAAATAATGTATCTTTTAGTCCCCTAGTTCATGTGCTTCAGACAGAAACACAACAAAGAATACTTAGGGAAGAACGAAGTGAGAGCCGTTGGGTACCTGCCTGTTGAGAAAACTTGGATTGCCACTGTCTCTAATGCAACAGACTATTTGGAACAGAGTCATTTCAATAAGAGGAACTTCTGTAACACATAGCTTATTTTGCAGAAAATCCAAATCTCCATCATTTTATCACTCCCCTCTCTTCTAACAGAAGTTAAAATTTTGTTAAAATAGCCTCTGCTAATTCCACCTTGGTCACATTTCACAGCTTGTTCGTCTGCAAAGAGCGAGCAAGACCGTGGTGCAGAACACACAAACAGTTCCCACAGCCTCCTTAAATCAATTTAATCATGATCTAACGAGAACTGCATTCACCAGTCTGGAAATAAGGGATGTGACTAGAACTACACAGAGTGATTCTGTGGTCCGGAGGAAGAGGCCAGTTAACAGCAGCTCCGGGATGGCCACGGCACCAGAGTCACTCGCTTCCTGTCTAGAGAAAGATTTCATTAAAAGCCTTTCCATGACTCTTGCATTTCCTAAATTCCAAATTGCAGCAAGATCACTACAAAAATCAAGGCTATTGCACAAGAGTACGCTTGAAATCAAGCATCGCAGAAAAAAAAAAGAATTCTAATAGCTAAACGTATTACAAAATAAGATGATTTACCAACTGTACAAGACACTGGGAAATTATTTTTTCCCTTACATTTGATCTGAGTGTGGAGCACTATAAATTACACATAGCAAATATTCTGCTAGCTAAACAAGACAAATAAAATAATAAAAGGAATATTACACAAGTACTGTTTCACTTTTCTACGTTGCCAGAATAAATTCTACCAGTACGCAGATTTAAAAGCAGAAAAATTCAAATAATACAAAAATAAGTGTGGAGAAAAAGTTGTTCTATCACAGTGAATGAAAGAATTTTCAGATCTATTTATTATTTTCCTGTTTAAGGACTGGGCAAAGTAAAATAACCAAACCAAAATAACCAAGAGATGGGAAGAAAAAAAAAAGGGCTGAAGATTGAAATCTTTTGTTGAGGGCAAAAGAAAGATTTTTAAGCAGCTCGATGAGCTGGTACTAGACAGGTAATTTTGTACTACTAATAGCTTCTGCTATTTTAATGCAGTGGCAGCAAAGATTTCTAAGCAAGACAGCTACAGGCACTGCACCAGTCCTAGGGAGATGCTTAAAAAAACCAAGCCCCGGGTGAAAACATTGGTTCAAATCATTACAAATCAAGCGATGTAGTTCATGATACAGCACTAACCACACTGCCACCGGTAAGGAATGGCCAGGGCATCGATGCTTCATCTTTCACGGGACAAAATGGTAACGCATTTGAAAAGCGAGACTCAAAATTTTTGAAAGCAACTGGAGATTTTGATTGCCAAATTCAGAACATCCGGTAAGGCTCTGAGTTAGCAAGAAAAACTGGACAGACTCTGAAATCAGGCCCTTTCAAAATCATATAGGCTGAGGACACCACAAATTGCTAACCATGCTGGAAAGCTCTGGACAATATGCCTGGGGACATACCCTGAGACTGCTTTCTGCAGGGCCTGAAAGGAGCTGGGTTCTCTCTACACACTTAACTGAGATAAAAGGGAGCATTTAAAACTGCCGCTTAACCGGTAAAGGCTAGTTGCAGCGCTCTTTGAAATGAGTATTTGTTACCAAAAAGGCAAGTTCATTATGAGTACGAAGTCCTTTCAGTCTGGTAAAAACCGTAGGTAAATAACTTGGCTAACCACCAATTTCCTGAGTGGTGTAGGCAGCGAGCTCATTAGTTTGTAGCTATAAATTATTCAGTTGCCTAAGTTTTGAGCATAAGAAGCCTAGCAGATCCTTTATTGTAAATCCTTTGCACCAAATTAATTTCCATTACTTCGGGTCAGGAAGGGAGACTCCAGAATTCATTACGAAGTAACACAGTGTAACAGTCAAAAAGAATAAAGAAAAAAAAAAAAAGTCTTTGCCCCAGAGCCCTAAGGGAGGTGTAGTACTTGCCTGGATGTGCATTTTAATTACTGCTTTCCCAATCAAGGTTGCACCAAAGAAGGTCCAGAAGGGAACCAGAAAGTGTCCGCATGTTATCCCGGCCAGGTCAAACAGAGGGTTTGGAATCTATAAAGTGCAAGGGAAAGAAGTTCATGGATTGCAGCACGCAGTCAGATGAACAGGAACATGACAGACTTTGAAAAATGAACATTTTCCCCTTATTCAACTTGATCCGAAACTCTTGTGTCTTAATACTTACAAAAAATGCTAATGTTGCACCACATAACTTAAATCTCTGGGATTCAGCTAGACAACGTCCCAGACACTTCCATTCTCATGGTCCCTCCTTACCCCTGGATTTTCAAAAAGCCAACAAAAAGTTTGCCATGTGAAATGCACAGAAACCACAGTAAAGCCATTTTATGTGATTTATCAAATTTTCTCACTGACAAGCACATCGTTCTTGGAAGCTAGTGTTCAAAATGATCCCCCGTGATTTCCATCTGAGAAAATACATTAAAAACTGGCATTTATAGTCATATGTATCCAGTTTAGAAGCACTGATTAGATTTTATTAAGCATATGCATTTCATTTAAAATTAAAAGATTTTTTTTATTGTTAAGCTGTTGGCTTGACGTCTGGTATTGTGATACTATCTGTAAAATATTTTTGAAATTAAACCAAGAAAGTATCCAAATTCCAACCTTTCACACTTAGCATGCAGTGCAAGGGCAGACTGTCTGAGTAAACAAATGGGGAACCTTTAACTCACAGTAGCAGTCTATTACTGGGCGAATATCCTGCAGTTTGTGTTGTTTTGTGGCACAAATAAATAAAGAGTGTAGCTTGTTAAAGGCCATACAAGATAGTAACTTTGCAAGTGACTAAATGGAAATCTGAAATCTGAGAGAAGGCTTACGAGGTTTATACTTAGCTATTATAGACTAGCAATTCAAATTTATGAGCACCCACAACACCACCTGCATGGGAAGAAATCTGAAACGGTCTCTAATCATGCCCCGAAACGGTCTCTAAACATGCTCCGCTTCAGCTAAAATGATTCTTTACCTCTGACAGCTGTCTTAGGCATAGGAGGCTAGTAAATTATTTACTTATACCACAGCCAGATAAGTTTGCTCTTCTGAGCCAAGTCTGCTCTAGGCCTTAAGTATGTTCTTTGTTGGTTGGTTGGAGGTTTGGTTTTTTTTTTCCTATGTTCACAGTATTTAATTATTGCATTACTATCAGCATAGAGGAAGCAATGTGCTTTAGGTATGGGTAACTGTGGACATCACCAGCACATTAAACATATCACAGGAAAAAGTTACTCAATGAGTCCACATCAGGGTATATTAGCAGGCCAGCGAGGTTTTCTCTTCGTTTTTTAACACACACACACACACGCAGTGCTGAGAATTGCCAAAAAAGCCCACAAAGACAGAAGGGCAAATTCTCACAAGTCACAGCAAGGATCTTCCAGGGCTAATTCTTGCTTTGTTCCTTCCCCAGAGCTGCCTTTACATAGGAATTCAGCTCCAGACAATAATAGGGCTTTCTCGTTGCCACTAGAGAACACCACATTCAGTTGACTTCACTGGATAACCTTGCAAAGTTTTAAATTCAATGTGATTGTGGTTTTATGTAGCATTTAGAAGCCACTGCTTGACAGACAACAACCTGCAGCTCAGACAGTCATCACCATTTCACAGGCAACTTCTCCAACCATAAAAAACACACTCAACTAAAATACTGTTTAAAACCCAAAATTAAGATCACAATTATAAAGAGGGCAAGCAAAGGAGACACCTTCTAGCAGACAGAGAAGCAGCAACGAGCGAGGGAAGCCCTGAAACAAAATCCTGAAGCTCTTGAGGGAACGCATGGATGCAAGGAGCGCACGCGGGGTGCTGCCTTCCTCATCTACAGATGCAACAAAAAAGTACAGCTTTGAATCCCTGTGCTTTCTCAATGCCTCTGCCACATTTAACCTCACCCTTTTTAATGCTACTCTGCAGTTAATCTGTAAACACATCTACAGATCCTCAAGTGCGCTGTGGTGGATACACGATTCCTCACCCCTCCCCAACCCAGGGCAGCCTATATAAGCAAAAGGAAGCTGGAGCTCAGAGCGCGTTCAAGAACAGTGCAGCAAGTAGGTAAGAAGTTAAGCAAATGTTTAAGTATTACTAAGCAGGAACTCTGAAGAATTTACACATCACCTCTCATGTTTACCAACTCCTTCCTCATGTTCTCCATTTATCCACACGTTGCCTTGTCCCGCCACTCCAGTAACTCACCCCTGCCATCTACAAGCTGCTGTTCTGATTACACAAGACAGACAAAATAGCCTATGCAGGGATGTCTCACAAGATGGTGACTAGAGGGTAATGAGTCAGAGGCAGTGAAGGAGCAGTCTAAGAGCTTACTGGATGGAAAGATTTAAAGAACAGCTTGTAACCTACATCTCCACTCTAAACACTAAGACAGTTCAAAAGATTAACAAACAGAAGGCGTATGCCAGCAGCTATAATCAGATTAATTCTTTCCAGCTAACACAGGTTACTTCTGTTTGAGCAAACAGTTAGCATTGTCATCTCTACAATTTAGGAAACTAAGAGAGACGCTAGACAAGTGTGGAATTAATACCTCGTCAGCTGAGCAGCTGGCTAATGGCTGTGGTTATTCCAGAAGAATGGGATCACAGGAGACCTACACTTCCCCTCTTCACTGCAGTCACGTTTCTGTGCATCACATCCCACATTTGGAGGGGGTGAGGGGGGGAATGGAAGAACAAGGCACACCATTCCTACCAGTTTTCATTCAGCTTCCAGAGAGAGATTTAAATCTCAAATGGTTCAATATTTTTCTACTCTAGAAGAACATCATTATCCTCCTTAAAACACTAAAACAGCATCAGTGGAGATGCTCATATCACCTCTTGCTTAGAGAGAAAAAAAAAAAACCCTACAAGTAGTTTGTAGTTCATATAGCCATGACTCTGAAACTGGCTTCCTCATTCTGCTCCCTCTGGTTCCTTGGGACCCAGTGAAGATCTCTCCAGTGCAGACTTAGGAGAGCTACTATGGACAGATATCCTAATCAGGATTTACACAGGTAGTTTTCCACTCTCAATCTGTGTATATCTTTGTATTTGAAGTTGTCAAGCACTGTAAGCCATAGGACATAAACACCTAAAGAATCTATAGGTACTAATACAGCTCTTGCTCTATCTCGCCAGGTAATAATCTGGGCTAGGAAAGTCCCAAGAGGATAACTGGGAGTGGGGCATCCGATCTGATCTGCCAAATACCCACTAACACAGGGCAGCGAGCAGCAGCGTGCATATGGCTGTGTTAGAGAAGACATAGCCTCAACGTCAAAGGCAGGGAGCAGCCCTGGTCTGAAACAGAAACATAGAAACTTCTTAAATTTTAAGAATGTCTTAGTTCAGTCCCTCGTAGTTTAAGCCTTCCTTAACTGACAAGCCTTCAGCATCTTTAAGGAACCGACCTGGTTTTATCAGGTTTCACCACACTATGCCCAACTATGGAACTGTTAGCTGTGCTTTTATGCAGAATTCACTGTGTTTGGTACTAATCGAGGACCGGAGTTTCTCCGTGCTGTTGTACTTGTACCACAACCATCCCATTTCCCTACGCACCACAGAGAACACAGAAATAGCAAACAAGGCATGAAAGTCTGTATGGACTCAAATAAAACCAAGTCACATTTCACAGCATTAGTTTCACTGCAAAACAGTCAATCTGCAATTTGTGGATTATAAAGCCCTCTCTTACTGAAGTGAACTTACCGAAGCGCAGGCCAAAATGCCGAAGAACCCAACCTTCTGCACCAGGTTCTGGACAGCCAGTTTAGCCCGGGAAGCAAAATCCTGCAAAGAAGAATACGAAGCATTAATGAGGCAAACCCCCAAATGAACATACCTCAAAATGTACATGATTTCAACAGCCTCCATGCTACAGGATTTTCTAATTTAGCAGTTGGGAGAATTTTTAAAACAAAAAAGCCAATTTGAAACTCTGGGCTTAGAGGGAAGAGAGAGAAATCCACAATGCTCAGTGTGAAAATCTGACCACCCACAGATACTGAGTTTTGTTTTTCAAAGGCACCAAGCTTGCACTACTATGGAAACAGGTTTTCTAGTATTTATTCCCCCGTATCTTTGAATTGCCAAGGCTGCTTATACCTTATTCCTTAAACGACCAAAGGGAATTCATTTCCTTCAATGACATTTGCAATGTGAAAAAGGTACTTGCTCAAAACACAAAGCCAGAACACAATACTCCCATTATATCCTGAGATCGTTGCTCTCAATCCCAGGATCTTAAATGAAAACAGCTAATTCCAGGTACACTCTACAACAGACTTGTGAAGTTCATTAAATCCATAGAGTTGAATCTGAAATACTTTCAAAGCACCGAAGGTGGCAGACCATAGAACATTTGAGCTATTCTTCACAAAAACATGCTGCCTACTTTTATTTTTGTGATCACAACTTTCAAACACATTAATGACAAACTCAGGAGTCTCTAAGTTTACCAAATACACAGTAAACATTTTTAAAAGCAAAAATAAAGATTCTCACAAGCAGTTTATTTGAATGTGAGAAGTGAATTTACAGGAGAATAAAATTCATTTAGAAGCAAAACTGTCCAAAAAGTTAAAACCAGGGTCAATATTATCTCTTCAGGCTTGGCAACAGCAGGTACAGAAAGCTGAGTATCTGTGGCAATAGCAAGCTTTAAAAAGTAATTATTAATTCTTTTTTTAAAAACCTATAAATAAGCAATAAAAAGCTGACTTCCCAGCAGTAATGCAATATCCACTGATTTGCGTTTAGTAGAAAACTATCAGATAAATTTCATAAGGCAGTTACTTCAACCAATAATTAATGAAATTCTAAATTCCACACTTCCAGATAGCTACAAGATAATCCGGATGAATTTATGCAACTTTAACTTTGTTACAATTCTGTTGAAACCTTCAATACCAATGCAAGTAAGTTACAATTACTTAACAATGTTCTTGGTATTATTTAAATTCTGAACTACAGAACTGACATAATTTTCTATGCCAGATTAAAAAAAAAAAAGCAAACCCAAAAACCTGTGATGAGGCCATTTGCTATCTTTTTACATCCCTTTTTCATGTAGTAACTTTTCTCCATGACAGTGCTTTTAAAAGTTAACAAATTCTCAAATAAAAAAAAACCCCCAATTCTTACAGAAATCATAAGGATTCTATTTATTATACTTTATATTCAAAAAAATAATCCAAATTACACCAAATACTTCAACTTAAAGAAACATGCCAAATAAATGAGATTTCCTACCTCTTAGAGCAGGACATTTTGAACCCCAGGAGAATATAAACCCCCTTTTAGAATAGCCTGTAAGGGTGGATTTGCTGACTTTCACCAGGATCAACACCTCGGGGTGGTGAATGTCTTCCAGCAAAATGGAATAGGTGAAATATTCACTCTTGGTGGAAAACTTGTTCCTGACATTCTTTCTGTTTAACTTCTAGGATACGTACAGCATGCAGGAGTGATTAACTGCACCCAGTGAGGCTGATACCAAACACTTGAACTTACGTTAGCAGCAACGGGTCTAGAACATGCCTACATGACAAGTAAAGTCAAATTTTTCATGCTTTTCAGTTAAAAGAGGGCCTTTTGACACAAACTGTTATAAAGAACAAAACATAACAATTTACCAGTGAACTACGTCCAAAAATCTTGCAACATCACAGGCAGTTCCTTCTCAAACTGAAGTTCCCTCCTCATTATTTCCAAGTTAGTAAACAAAACCCAACCAAGCGAATATATGCTCACTAACAGGGGCCAGCACTACTACACCCACTCAGCCCCACTGAGGATGTAGGACATGAACTCAGAAGGATGCAAGGCTCTTTTTGCAGCAGTGAGCACACAGCTACCAACAAAGGAAACAAAATGCAGCTCGCTAAGGAGACAACAGGTATTCTAATTCCTAATTCCAAATGCAAGAGTAGAAATAGGTGCTCAGAATTTCTCTACAAATTAATTTAAAATGAAAAAGTGTGCTAAAGCCTCACAGTGACGGCGTCCTCTCAACCACAGATTTTGTTCTTTGAAAAGGTGAACTGAAAAAGTAGTGCCTTATGTAGGAATTTCATAAGATGTCTCCCCCTGTACTCTACAAAGCTGAATGTGACCATAATATTTTCAGTTCCTATTTTGTTCACCATTTCACAATGCTCTTGGGGTTAGAACAATATTTTCACTTTTATAAGCCAATAAAGATTTTTTTTTTTCACAGCTCCATAAATCTCATTGTAAAGTATCTGCAAAATAAACCACTACAATCTTAATTATTCAAATAGATCCACAGTATATTTTAATGGAAGTTGTTTCTATTCTAATTTTAACATACTGACCCGTTATCTTAGGCTGCATTCCTAACACACCGTTGTATTCATTTTCACAAGTTGGAATTGGAAACAAACTCTCCAGCAAGTGACCTATAAACTAACACTTGCAGCACAGCTGGTTTAATAAAGTATATTATTATAATTATATATAGATTGACTGTATTAACTTAGTGTAAGCACACTGCACCATTTCTCATCAAATTTCTTAAAAATAAACAGCTTACCCCTATTTCTAAACTGCTGCAAAAATTCAAGGCTGCCTCAAAACTATTTTTTTTCTCTCCAGCTAAATACATGTAATTTTTATTATAAAACCAATGCTGAAAGTGTTGAAAAAAGTGTAACAAGTTTGTCTCTCAAATTAATAACTTTTTTTTTTAAGTTATTACTCAGATTGTAATAAGACAATGAATGTAAAAAAAAAATTAAAGAAGAAACAAAGTACTCCATGGAAAGCACAGCTATAGTTCCAAAAATTTACATCAAAAAACTTCTAATTTGTCTCCCTTTTTTGAACTTTCTAAATCAGCCAAAAGAGATAAATTAAGCATTTTTTTCCCTATTTTCTATGATCTAATGTAATCATAGCTACAAATAATTTGCCCAGTAATATACACATCAGGGCTGTAACACAACTGTGTATTTGCAGCCTCAACATTTACTTCAATGAAAACAAGTTCAGAAATACTTCTGTTGGGTTGCTTCCTTAAATTCAGTTTGTAAAATCTTTGCAACATCTGCAATAATAAAAAAACCTTAAAAGTTTCATTTCTCAGAGAATCCAATCATCACTTTCACAACTTTTACCTCTTTCACAATAAAATTTTTCTGTTGCAAAGCCTGCACAGGCAACAATCTTTACTTTTTTTAAGCATTTGAAATAAAAGCAAGAGAACTTCCACAACTTATTGCTTTAAAAAAACCAAAACAAACAGATAAAAGTTCAGCTACTTACAGGCAAAACATTTTTCCCCAAAATTAAAGTATCTAGACTGGACTCGACTCTCAGCTAGTATGATTAATTCTCTACGACATTTCAGGATACTTTAGTTCACTGCGTCCCTTTCAAAGATGATTTGGGGTTTTTTTTTGGTTTGGAAATAGATTTCCTGTGACTGCTACAATACAGGCAAAGGAAGGTTAAATGATTAAACATTACTTCATTGGGTTAATCATCAGATCTCAAGAACTGGAATGGAAATAAGAGGCATAAAAAGGTCAGTGCTGAAATACTGATTCACAAGTCTCAGCTGGTAGCTCGAGGCAGTTTGCTTCATATCTGCCGTTAGTAAAATGGGACAATTTATTGATACTGGCATTTCATTACTACATGTTGCAAAAGCAAAAAACCCTCCCAAACCTAAAGGGATACTAAAGAGAAATTACATATTTTGCTGCTAAGTAAGACTTACCACAGTGTTCCTCCTTTAAATATGCATTATGGTACAGCTTTGAGTACAACTTGACATGGACCATTCATCCCTATAAAAAAGCCCTCCTTCTTGAAAGAGTGAATGGTTGATCTTGTCTCAACTATAAGGCTTCATCCCACCCCTCTGTTTTATTTTGTTTCCATTTACGATTTAAATCCCTATTTCTTCTTTCTCCCTTCATTGGAAAGTAAGTTGCACAAGCCCTTCTGTATTTGAGTAAAGAACATTTCACTGGATTTAGTTAACAAGCTTGAGGAAAAAAAAAATTAAAAAAAATAAATTTTTACTCTTTTCCTTCTATAATACTGATTTATTATCAGAAAACAGAATGGTCACAATTTGTTGTTCATATTGAAATTGTGAAGCCTCTTTTTTCTTAATCTCCAAGAACAGAGATTGTTGATGGATCCATGGCAAGTAACCAGTTGATGGTTACCAAGGAGCGCTGAATAATCAGCGCTGGATTGACTCCCATAGTCCTTACAGAAACAACCCATACGACTTTGGCAGAAGCTATTTTCTTGAACGACTGCACAGATGGGCCTATAACAATTATGTAACATAACAGTTTATTTTCTAACACGAAGTTGCAATCAGTTTTCAGGAGCATCAAGCAAGCTGTGACTCCCTATCACAAACCACCTCTTCCTCGCATGCAGCAGCGATGACAGTTGTCACTCTGAAAGACACGATCCAGAGTTCCAGTGATTTGAGGCCTAGAAAAACCTTTCTTTCATCACAATTTTTTTCTGCTGTAAATACATCAACCACTGCACAAATACATTGGTAATATTGGTATATTAGTGGATATAGCACAAAGGCAGCAGCCAGCAAAGAAGGGAAGGAATATATGAGACTAAATTCAATCAGAAGTTCATAGGGCGTGTGTTCTCTACCAGGATGAACAGGGAGTGACTTCGTGTAGGATCAGGGGGAAGTCAAGTGATGCAGTTGTCAATGCAGTCGCTCAAGCAGGACATTAATTACCTAGCAGACGGTAGCCTTAAGAAGTTCAAAAATATATTTC